AGCGACAGGTTGGATACAGGTGTTGAACACCTGTTGAACCTGAGCAAAAGCAAGCTCACTGATTCCCAGCAGAAGAAACAAGACAGCGGCAGCAGAAATAGCCTCTTTAAGACTAGAGGATTCACTAACTCCTTAGAGTTAGGAGTTTATGCTCTTTGATATATACCCCTACAGACAAGTGCAGGAATGTCCGCCAGACACTTTCCCCTCTAACCCTGCAGCACTGTGCAGACACAGGTTGGAATGCTGGATACAGCATGTACAACATTTATGGACAGCATAAACTTTTAAGTTTCCATTCAGATTTTAAACCTGCTAGTTGTCCCTCTAGGCTGTGCAGAAAGGTGTTCCCTTTTATCCTTGAAGACAAATGCTCCCCCTTTACAGTGGAGGCACACCCCCTTTCTGAGGCAAAGGATTTGATGAACTAGTGAGTATAGAAGGTACTTACAGAATTTAATTCACAAGTCTGTGTATATCAATAATACTTAGGATGAGTATGACATAAAGATTTGGCTTTTACTACAAAAGGATATTAAAAGTTTTACCTCTGCCATGGGGCTTATAGCATTCCCAGGGCTTCCACTGAAGCCTCCCTCCCCTGTAAGACATTCAATAAGTCAGCAGCAAATGTCAGGCATTTAACAGTGCTCGTGTTAGTGCTGTAAGATGATACTACTCAGAAATATTAGAGAAAGGGCCTCTAAATTTCTAGCCTGGCTACCTATGCAGCACAGGCAGAGCAACAGAACACCACTGACTTCAGCAGAACTGCTGATACTTATATTGAGAGACATTTCTCTCCACTAGTTGTACGTGAATTACCTGTTTGAAATGGATGAGTTCTAATCATAAACTTTATCCCTAACCTATCAGCTAACTTATATTTAAACACTATACATCTGCAAAATCCTATTCAAGTCTATTGTGAATAAATTGCTCCAGCCATAGAAGATGAAAATGCCAGAGAATTCTTCACTGTAAAATGGAATATATGGGCTTTGCTGGGGTGTGAAAAACAGTGCTGACTGCTGGAAAAGCAGTTCTTTTATCAGAGTGGCAACAGCTTATATCAGTTCTCACTTTGCAAGGCATTGATAACTGCAAATGCAAATTTCCAGACAGTCATCAGCTAACTTTGGCAATCTCCAAATTGTAGCTATTAAGGAAGGCAGCTTTATGAGATTCTAGTTGCTTTGCCACAGATTTTTACAGGTTTCTAAAGGGTCCTTAAAAGACAATGGGGTTCAGCAAACTCAGCTTTGAGGTGCAGTAACTTCTTCTAATGACCTACTGCACACATGTATCCCACTATCAAATTTCAGGACAAAAATATGGCAGTTTGTTAACTTTAAGGATGTTTCACGATACTTTGGTGGCAACAGCACAGTATGGAAAGTCATTTCAATTTTATGGGAAGTAGTTATAGAAGTAAAAAATTAATTTTCACAAGGCCTTTTTCTTCCCTGTTTGGTGGAAGAATTCAAACCTTGACTTCCATCTCTTCCTCCAATCCTTCTGGTCGTCTCAGGAAAGATAATTTTTGTGGTGAAGAAATCCCCTTCTCACCAAAATCCTTGAACAACACTCAACAAAGAGACAAGAAGGAAGAAATTAACATCAAAAGCCAAAAATGAGGCTGTATGATAAAACTAGTGAGATACTAGAGCAGAAGAAGAGATGATTTAAAGGTCCAGAGCGGTCTTAGGAGAGAGGACTGAATTTGATACAATGAAGGGAAAAGAGAGTTTTGCACCACAGGGGGAGAACCATTGCAGCTTGCAGAGATAGATGAGAGGTTTGTTTAGCTTCATGGTACCAAAAGCCTGGAAAAAAACCCTGTATGTTGCTGAGACATTTTTTAATGGGCTCACACTTCATCTAAATAAAATCAGAAATGTTCCACTGCTTAGTCCATGCAGAGGATTTGATCCACGGTGTTTATATTGGTAGCCTCTCCTTTTCATTTCTTACTCCATAGATTAATCTGCTGTGTTGAGAGAGAAACGTGTACTGTACTGTGCTAATGAATTTTTAGTACAACTGGACAGCTTTGGTGAACAAACTGAAATAAACTGGTTGTATCTGTCCCCTGCACACCTTCATCTAGTGGAATATAGTCCCTATTTTATGATATTGAGCACCTGGACTCAGAACTGGGCTCCCATCCAAAAGTTGCAAATTTCTCTTCACAAATAAAACGGACTGTGCAAGAGTTATTCTAGGTCAAGATTACAAGAGCAAATTTGGATCTGGATTTTGAAAATGCCTTTGATTGGGAGTCCCAGTTCAGGCTTTGGGTTCAGCTCTTTCTGGAGACATGATCGAACTGTGAAATGCTACCCTATTTACTTTTGCTTTTGTTAAAACTCAGGAATTATTCTTTTTAAGACAAGGAGGTGTTAGAGTTAGGACAAACAGAATAATGGCTCTAAGCCTGACACTTGTTCTTAGGTTGATAAAGAACTTTCCACCAAAGCAAGATTTCTGCATAGAAGAAATTGTGCACGGTACATACAAGTGAGGAAGGTTTTCTGGGAAGAAAACTTTGTAAATGTTTCTCAGAACATTTTTCCTGCTTCCTGACCATCTTGCTCTAATGTGTCCATATTAATCTCTCTCCCAACAGATGGGCTGAAATTGCTGGCCTACTTATGCAACAAGTAAATCCTGCACTTAGTCCAGCTTTGTATGCACGACAAGGAGACCATACTATCCAGTAATTGACTGAAAAAATATCTCTGTCAAAAAAAAGAAAGGAGATAATAAAGCATTAAACAAGATAAAACAGAAAGAAAATATGAGGAAATAAAGCAAATGCATTTACCTCTGAATTTTGCTAAAACCAAAGCAATGGGGAGAGGAGAGGAGAGAATCATCCTTATGGGCATACTTTACTGTAGGAATTGTTTTAATTGCCTTTATTCTAAATTGAGATGACTAATCACTATCATAGCTTTTATTTGATATTGTATTAGCACAAAATTGTTCCAAATCAGAGATGTTTGTGACAGTATCCCTCAATACTGTACACAAACATAGCAGAGAGGATCCTTATCTCAAGAGGACCCAAGTATAATAAAGGAAACAAGAAGCTGGTGCAGGGAACCTTATTATTCCAGTGCACAGTGCTCATAGGACACTAGTATGCTGTACAGAACTGATATTTGGTGGTATTTGAAGCATATAGCATTTTCATATTTTTTAAAGTGAAAATCTGAAACATCAGAAAGCAGAACTTTCACAAGAACACATCTTTTGCAGAAAGAATCTTTTTGTCTGTTTTTCAGCAGAAGGATTTTCAGACAGTGGATTCCAAGTGATAATCGGTGAGGCTACAGAAATGATGCTCTGTGGTCAGCTCTCTATGGAGTCATACTGCCTTCACAGCTTTTCCAACTAATGCTTTGATGGACAGACTACTTTGTGGAGTCATTTGCATATGGAAAAGAGGACCCAAAAGAGTTGAGGAATCATGAGTCTAGGTGAAGTATTTCTAAAATGCTAAAATGTAGAGGGCCAATGATTTGGCAGTTACTATATTACTTCATGAAATAGCAATTTCACCATTTGGAAGAATTCCCCATTCCATCTGCACTTTTTCATGACTACTACATAGACAAACACCAGAAGCCAAGAAAGACTTAATTACTTTTGTCTCTAGATTTAACCTAAAGGTAGGTACATGCTTTTTCCAAAATGCCGAATAAGAAAAATGCATGTTGGGAAATCTCTGATAGAAATTGGTAATAGAAAAGCTAAGTTGGATAAGGTGACAATTCAGAGTTGGAACCCCATCTGAAACTATCAGAAGTGTGCTTGCATCTTTTCAAGCTTGTTCTGAAAGGTCTCAGAAGAAATGGAAACACATGATGGCTTCCCTTCATCCTATGGCTTGGCTAAATGATCTCATTATGGAAAACAAGCCCTGTTCCAGCCAGCTGTTATCACTTCATCCCCATCCCCCGTGCTTATCTCCTTTGAAGTTTAGCAGAATGTAGAGATTTCCAGAGACAAAAGTGAGCTCGCTATGCTCTCCCTTAGCTGAAGAGTGTGAAGGAACAATCTTCCTCCCATACATAACCCAACCACAAGCATGACAGCTGCTCCAAAGCAAGCCACAGAGTCAGCCGAGAAATATTTGTAATGGAACAGTCAGGAAGCTGCTGAGAGACCCAAATGCTGTTGCTGGGAAAACCACATTTCGGTCCTTTATATCTGGATCTTAAAATTGATAGGGCCACCTCGTGTGGCCAGAGACACTGCCAACATACTTAGGAAGTGCACTGCTGTCTTTCAAAGGTCACACTGCATGCAGCACGGCAGAATCAAAATAGAAAATACAACTGGAGAGCAGAGCTATAGCAAATGGGAAAGAGTAATCACACTTTCTATGCTTAGTTCATCTTTTCAAGGTGTTAAGTCGGAAAGACAGTTTTGAAGCTCATCTGTAAAAACTCCTATCTCATTTGTGCTAATTTTAAATTGTGTTCCACAAAAACATATGAGTCACATTCATACACAGTATGCCAAAAAAAAAACCAAAACACAGAAATATTTGTTCCAGGAAAACAATTTGTCTAAGTTTAACAAGATTACAACTCAGAAATTAAGAAACTTCATCTGGAAGCGTGGAAAAGAACAGCTTTTATTAACAAAATCTGAATAAACAACAAATGGTGCAATAAAAAATTTCAGAAGAAACAAAAACAAAGTCCCAATTCCCCAGGTGGGGGGAACTGAAGGCAAAATGTCCCGGCAGCTCAAGAGCTGCTCGCAGCCACATGTGCTCACAGCCGCCGATGGCTTCGCAGCAGCAATGAGAGTCCTTTTTCCCACAGGCACTCTCGAAAGCAGAATACCTCGCTCTGAGATGGGTCGGTCTCTCTCTCTCAGTCGTCCTCCGCCAGGTGTCTCGTGGGGAAAAACCTCCTCCCCGGAAAAGAAAAAAAAAAAAGGGCGGCCGAAACCGCCCCCCCCCTCGGCCGACAAAAACCAACCACGCTCCGAACAAAAGACTCCCCCGCAGTGCCCCACCCCGCGGCAACCGCCTGCCAGGGAACCTCCCCTCTTCCCCCGCTCAGATGGGGGGGGAGGGAAACGGGTCCCTAGGAAAAAAATTCCAACAGCTCTTTTCAAACCTATGACACAATTATTTTCCTTTTCATTTTCTTTAGGACAGTATATGTATTTTTTTTTCTTTAATTCTTCTTTAAAATAATTATCAGTGTGTGCATATTTGTATAAACATGTGTATGTCTGTATATATTCACACAATAATCAGTGTATGTGTGTAAAACATATACAATACATACAAGCTGGGGGAGGTTTAGGTTGGATATCAGGAAAAAGTTTTTCACCCAGAGGGTGGTTAGGCACTGGAACAGGCTCCCCAGGGCAGTGGGCACAGCACAAAGCCTAGCTGACTTTCAAGGACTGTTTGGCCAACGCCGTCAGGGACATGGTGGGATTGTTGAGGGGTCTGTGCAGGGCTGGGAGTTGGACTCGATGATCCTGATGGGTCCCTCCCAACTCAGCATATTCTATGATTCTATGATTCTATATGTAAATATCTCTACACAATAAGCATATTATAATTTATATGCCTAACAGTTCAGTTGAACCTGATGAAAAGCTCATAATCTTCAAAACTAAGCTGCCTTTTTTTTTTTTCCATCATGGCTAGGCTTTGCGAATGAAGATTTGGGAAGGGCTCTACCCACGTTTGTTACGAGCACACTGGTGGCTAAAAAGGCCAATACGAGATAAGTACATCCGGTTGCAAAAGGCACAGCAGAAAGACTCCTTAGGTGGTATCGGCAAGACACGGTTCTTTCTGCGCTGTCTTTTCTCTTTGATGGTGATCCTGCTGCGTTCTCAAAGGAAGCAGCAGTGTTATGGATGGTGTGTCTCCAGACCTCCCGATTGGAGGCCAGAGTAGACCAGTTATGATGATCAATATGGCCAAGGCTGAGATGTTGCTTCAGGGAGTCCTTGTCTTGTATCTCCTCTTTGGGGCTCCTCTCTTGCGGCAGCCGGTGGCAAGTTCACCATAAAGCAGGATCTTAGGGAGGCGGTGGTTGGTCCTTCATCCTGGAGACGTGCCCTGCCCAACGCAGCTGTGTCTCAGCAACGTGGCCTCAATACTTGTGACAGCTGCTTGCTCTAGAACAGATGGATTGGTCACATCATCTGACCAGTGGATGTTTAGGACTGTACGGAGGCAGCGTTGATGGAAGCGTTCCAGGAGACGCAGGTGGTGGCGGTAGATGACCCATGATTTGGACCCATATAAAAGAGTGGACAGCACAATGGCTCTGTAATTTTTATTTTTTTTTTACTTTGTAGTAAATTAACGAGGTTGTGAGGTTGCCTGGTGGCCAGGACATACCATATGGTAAGATACATTATCTATCAGTCACTTAAGCTGACTTGACCCACTAGGAGTTTAACTGAGGTAAGTTACATAATACTCAAAATAATGTAATTATGGGAGCACAGTCCTAGGAGATGGCTGGAAGATAAACAATGGGCCAAATTCTCTTTGGGTAATCCAGGTGAAGCCACTGGAAACCTATTAGGACACAAGATCTGTGTACTTGCTCAGTGGCAGACATTCATCCCTCTGGAGGGCATCAGTTTATCCTCCTGATCTTCCCAGGAGTTTACAGAAGAATTTCTGTGAAGCTCAGAGCAGATGATACCCAATTTGCCTATTAAACCTCAATCCATAGTCCTTACGGGCAGGTACCAGTTTCATTGCTGTGGTAGCAAACCTTGCAGGACTACACAGGACCTGCTACAGATGGAAGAGTTTCCTCTCTGTCCCTGGATTTTCCTGCAAAGGGCAACTTCAGAAGACAGGCTGCTAAAAAGAAAAGGCTGTGTATTTCTCTCCAGGAAGTGTCTTTTTATCATTCTTCCTTCTAGGCACAGAGTCCACCCTAGGATCTACCACACTGTCCTTTTACAGATGTTCTGCTCAGAGGATGTGTAAAACTGAGCAAATAGCAACAGAAGTAAAACAAACAAACATAAATTCAAACCCAAACCAAATGGGAAACGGAAGGGGGAGGTGGAAGTGGGGGACAGGACACTGGGTATTTATCTGTTTATTGCAGTCTGTTTCACTTTTGTTTAAGATGTCAGCTCTTTGGGCAGGAAAAATATATTTTTCCTTGGCATGCTTAACAAATAATAACAGCCAATTGACCTCGAGAGGTCTTCAGGACACACTGTATCTGTACACATGTTCATACTTCATTCCCCCATAGATCCTAGTTGTAGGTTTAAAAATAACATAAGTAAACTATTGTCTTGCTAATGAAATCCACATATGAACCCCTGCTATACAGATTACATTTCAATTGGTTATTTTATCACTTTTTGCATTATATCTGCAAAGAAGGTTTCATGCTAGATTAGTACATATTAAGTGGATTAGGGTCTAGGCATGTGTGGTCAGTGCACCTGATACAAGGATGTGGATGGATAAACATGCACGTATTTTTCCTTTGAATTCAATTCTTTGCAAGTCACCTTCCTAAATTCTCCTTGCTGTCCATCAAAGAAAATTATTACTTGATTAGTCTATATCTGGCCTACAAGGAAAATAGAGGTTGCTGAAAAAAAATTGTCAAGAGACTCAGCTGGGCAGGGGAATTTTACAGGTACGTCATATAAATCAGGTGCCTCACAAATAGGAGAAAACTTTGGAGTGAAAAAATATTCAGAGAATGGAGACAAAAATAGGAGTGCTGAATCAATGACAATGCATGAATTTGAAGGGGATAGAAGACAAGAAAGAAAGGTGATTACCAGCTTGGTTTCATGCAGGCCACAACGGGAGAACGTGATTATTACTAAATCTGAAAATTAAGACGCTACAGTAACCAGCAGAGAAGGTACTAGGGTTTGGGTAACTCTTCTGTCTGAAAAGACAAGACAGTTAAAAAAAAAATCCTAGACATAAAAATTATTCTGCTAAACCAAGTCACAATTCCCTTGTAACATTCATAAATAGCCTAAATCTTGTTTACAGTTGTAATTTCTATTTGATGGAATTATTATCAAAGAGATTAGCAAATCCTTTCAGTTCAGAGACATTTAAATTTAGCAGCAGGAAAAAGAAGTTTGTTGAGTGTGGAATCCACCCCTGCTGCTCCAAAACAATCAGAAACAGGAAAAAGTAATCAAAAGGGAGTTTTAATGAGTTATAGAGCTATTGTTTATTGGGGAGGGCTGAAAGCCCGAAGCCCAAGCCTGGAGGACCTCTGTGACCCTGCACTGCCTCTCGGTGGCAAAATATTTGCTTAAAATTACGTCAAAACAACACAATGTGCGTGTCTGAAGGCCAAGGGGTTGGGGGGGGGCCCTGAGAAAAACAGTGGAAATTCCCTGAGTCTCTGAACGTACTGGAGGCTTTCCTTGAAAAACAAGGCAATAAATAGCAGCTGTACTCGAACGTTCACGCTAACACAGGCAGTGTCTCCTTCGGCTGTACAAAGGGGAGGCTCGACTTGCCGGGCAGCTCCAGAAGCAGCTGCAGCCCTTTCCTCCACAGCTGCCGAGCGCGGGCAGACTGAGGGCACGGGGGCGAGTGCCCACGGGGAGGGGTTCGGTGCCCACGGGGAAGGGTTCGGTGCCCACGGGGAGGGGTTCGGTGCCCACGGGGAGTGGCTGCCAGGGCGTGTGCACGGCCCAGGGTCCTCCGGGGCAGCAGGCCCGGGGTCAAGCGATACTGCCAGGGTGTCATGAGGCTGCCAAAGTGAACGCTTCACAGGAAGATGAGGAGGCTCTTCTGGAGAGGGGCTGAAAACAGGAAGCTAATTTTTCCAAGGAAATAATTATACAGGAGTGCTGGATTTTTGCAGAAAGAGACTTCTGTTGCTTTCCCAGAACTTCCCCCCCCCCCCCCCGAGGTAAAAAAGCACAACGTTTAAGTCAGTGGTCAAAGGGAACAGTTATCTTACTGAGGTTCTCACCAGCAGTTATTTAATCAGTAGTATGTGTCTGAAAGTGGCCTACTGCACATGCTTGGTCAGGGAAAGATAGTCCCTGTTGACTTCTTGGGTGGAAAAGTTGCTGCCAAAATGTTCATGTCTTACGTTTAATGCAAGTCACGCCCCAGGGAATGGATATAGACTCCGCGAGTCCTCCCACAAGAATACAAGTAGGAGGAAGTCAACAGGAATGAAAATAAGCAAAAAGATGGAATGTTTCCTGTGGAAAATGGGCACATTAAAAAGAACAGCAGACCTTCCCTTGGAGAAATAACAATGAGCTCTGTGAACCGCTAAGACAACAGTCAGTGGTGGAAAGGGTGCAACATGTAGGCCTGAGTGACATAAAACCACAGATGACCTGCTCAGCCACACACTGCATGACACAAAGAATTTGTCTACCTGTCCATCAAAGTAATATTCCCAACACAACAGACCAAGCAGGGTACCAGCAGACCCTTGGGAAAAGCACAGTATGTGTGATGGTCATGAGCTAGCTGGCCTATCTAGGCATTCATCTCCTGTCTTTTATGAACTGCACTCATTCCATTAGTGGCCCCATGCACAGTTACACGACATCCCCAGAGATTCCCCTGGCAGCTGGAAGAAAGACATTTTGCAATGTGGAGCTAGATAGGAAGCAACTTACAGTACCTTCCAGGCTAACAGTCCCCATGCAAATTTAGGTTCATGCAATACCCACCTACAAAGCAAGCTTTGCCTTGGCATACCACACACTGGCCAGCATGATGTCCTTAACAACCCTTAAAATTTGGCATTATTGGCTCAAGTAATCACCTGAAGAAGACAGATTACAGTTGCCCTACAGGTAACAGGGAATGATATTTGACACAGTACTCAATGACATTAAAATTGCTGTTGATTTGTATATATGTTTCACCAGACAAACTGTCTAGCCACATCAAGTATTTTTATTTTACCAACACTTACTACATTATGAATAGGTCTGTTAAGCCCTCACATTTTATTTCACTTTTACCTGTGTTAAAATTCCAAATAGCCATGTTTTATCTGCACAAGATCACTCAATCGGTCATATGGCTTTCCAGGGAAATGTAACACAATAACTCTGTCTAGAGTCATCTAATTTTCTGTTCACTCTTATCACTCCACCAAGAAGCCAAAATATTTTAATTAGATATAATGTGTAAAGTCAAGCTGCAAGTAAGACTTTAAAAGCAGAAAACACCCATAAAGAGACTTTCAAAGTTGCCACTAAAATTCATATTATTCAGTTTTTTGCAAGGCTAATTAAAGATTTTTAGCCCGTTAACATCTACAACACCTCCAGCTGCCACTATGGTTGTAGACAGCATTTCTTGAGGTCAAGTTCAAATGAGCTGAGGCTGGACTCAACAAAATTAAAGCATTCAGGCCCACTGACTGCATCTGAAAATTTCATACACACTCAATAATATATGCTTGTAAATTTATATGCATACACCTGATTTTCTAGAGCATGTGCAGTCATGAGCAGTACTAAGACCCATTAAGGCCTTGCACTCCTATAATTAGCATCTCTAATTATAGTTCTGTTTGGTATATCTATATCATACAGGTTAAGGAAAAGCTCTCCTTGATGTTGTTCATGTGTTTAAATAAGACCTAAGATGTTTGTTATGAGTTTCTTTGTTAGAATTATAATCTACAATAAATGCAATATAAACGAGCTAATACTACACAGTTTCTCAGCTTTTACCACGCTGACAACTTTAGGTCCATTTCTGAATTTAGAACGAGGTTATGGATTTGCATAGACCTATCAATACTTGTAAGAACACTGTGTTTTCACATATACATAGAAGTCTAGTTACAACCGTTCTTAATATTTTTTGGCACTTATTCTTCAAAATCACAAGCCCTCACAAGCAGTCATTCAGCTGTCATTCTGAAAAATGCCAACATGTCTCAAAATGTAATTTACGAATGAAATGCAAGTCATCAGTTTGACCTTTGGAACAGCAATATATATATGTGTGTGTGTGTGTGTGTGCATGTAATTTTTTTTAAGTTGGCAGGAAAAAATAGCTATAGTTTCCTTTCCTGATGAAGAAAAACATGTTTTGCCTTGTCTTATATCTGTAAGCAAAACTGGATCTGGGAAAAAAAGACATATAGTAATAGGCAGAACTACCCCCGCATTCCTCACTGCTCACTCTCTCCTGCAATTGTGTAAAGCAAGGAAGTAAAAGGCTGGTAGAGACAGAAAAACATGTTTTTCTTTGAAAGTCCATCTGCAGAAATATTTATCAGCTGTTAGCAAAACACACATAAAATAATATTCTCTTTTTAAAAGCCAGAAACAAATAAGTCCTTTTTTCACTGAAAAATGTAGCATGATTGAAATCCCTGCCATTGAAAAATGAAAAACATGGTTTTTATTTGCTGTTTTTGTGGGGGTTTTTACTGCTCCCTAGAAGTCACTGAGGTCTTTTGCCACTGAAATCTCCAGTACTGTCCAGTGTATTTTTGCCTCGTGGTCAGTCACAATCTTCCTTTTTCATGAACAGATGTCACCAAAGCAATCCATAGAGAAGATAATTTAAAGACCCACTCATTTCTGCAGGTGCTGTAAATAATTGGCTAGTAGGTTGATCAGCCAAGGATGGGTACACAGGCAGAGATAGGCTGTGTGCCCACCGTTCAGAGTAGCTGGAGCAATAGGAGTCCTGGCAGACTGCCCTCAGAAAGGTCCCTGGTTTGGAAAGTAAAGGACCCACAGTGGGGGAGGTGTCTGTAGAATATACCAGGTCCACAGTTCAGCCAAAGCCAACACTCAAACCTTTCTCTTGTTTAATGTAAGCAGCCTGGCAGGTCTCAGGGTCCAGGATCAGCTTGTGAATGTATAAGGACATCCTAAACTAGGAGCAAAATTCCTCTCACAGTTTACAGTGAGTACAGTGAAGCAGAGTGATTTGTTTAAAGCTCCGCTTCAGACTACTCAAGGAGGCTTGGTTATAAATAGGAAACTATTCAATGAGCAAAGCATAAGATAATATTTTTAGGCAAATAATACTTGTAGGATACAAGTAGTGATCATTAAAAACAAAAAAAGAGAGAGCGGCAATATGTTATGTGTTCAGCAAAGGTGGATGGGCAGTATTACAACATTACGTTCCAGAGTTTGGTGATACAAGATCAATAGTTAATCATGAAGATGAAAAGCGTTTACAAATGCTTCCAATGGATAGGATTATCATCTGCTAATTAACCTCCAGACTGCTTCATGACACAGCAGTGTGGCCACAGAGAGGTAGGAGCAGTGGTGCACAGAGAGGCGCTTTCCAGTCTTCAGGGTTGATTATGGCTTGAATTATGACCTCCCACTGTATCTGTTATGGCACTCCAGTGGTTAATAGGAGCCCTCTTTGTCCAGGGGTTGCTTCGGAGACGGTTCCTGTACCTCAGGAAGCAGGGAGAAGAGAAGCTTCCTGTTTTGAAGAAGGTTTAAGAACTATTTTCCTCCAATCAGGCAGCAGATGCCTGGGCAGGAAATGGGGAACACAGCTGCCAGCCCCATTGCAAGTCAGTGGCTGTGCTAATAGATGCAGCCAAGATTTACCATAGCCAAAAAGGCCCCAGTGATAAGTAGGTTGCAGAGTTAAGGGGAGGATTTGTGGTAGAAGGTGCCTGGATTGAGGCTTTCATTGGCACAAGACCAAAACAAATCCAAATGCTGAGAGGAAATGGGTGTTTGGCTTCCTCCCTGTATGTAACTCTCACACGACACATTGCACCCAGTATAAAGCCCTGATAAAATGAGGTGTGTGATTACTTGTGGTTCAAAAC